TGATTTTGTAACTGTTTAACCGATAAATAAAAATAACAGATACATGGTGTATATTAAAATGTCAATGTAAGGATATTCATTTTGAGATTTTCTAAAGATTACATTTTAATAGTGTTATTAGTGTTTTTAAAGATAATAAACTATAGTTGAGAATTAAATTAAGGCAAAGGTCATCAATTTACAAATAGTGTGAGCATGAACAATTTATATTTAGCCTACAGACACAGATTCATTTTTAAAATAATATTATTAACTGATATGACACCGATATATTTTGCATCCCATAATATACAGTGAAAAAGTGAAAGTGAAGTGACGTGTACCCAAGTATACTCGGAATTTGTGCTCTGCATTTAACCCATCCAAGTGCACACACACAGTAATGAGAAGTGAAGTGAAGTGCGTGCACACACACACACACACACACACACACACGGAGCAGTGGGCAGCCAATGCTGCGGCGCCCGGGGAGCAGTTGGAGGTTCGGTGCCTTGCTCAAGGGTCTCACCTCAGTCGTGGTATTGAAGGTGGAGAGAGTGCTAGATATTCACTCCCCCCCACCTACAATCCCTGCTGGACCTGAGACTCGAATCTGTAACCTTTGGATTACAAATCCGACTCGCTATCCATTAGGCCACGACTGCCCCACAATACTGTTCAATACTGTTTCTTCAAAGAAATCTCTTATCACCAAGGCTCTATATATTTGTGCAAAAACTATGTAAAAGCAGTAATATCATGAAAGATTATAGCAATTTAAAATAAACAATATATTCATGTGATGGTAAAGCTACATTTTCAGCTTCAGCCTTCAGTGTCACATGATCAAATCACTCCAATATACTGATTTCCTGCTCAAGAAATATTTCTTATTATTACGAATGTTGAAGACAGTTTTGTTGCTTAATATTTTTGTGGAAATCATGATAATTTGATGAATAGGAATTTGAAATTAAAATCTTTTGTAACATAAATGGTCATTTTTTATCAATTTAATGTGTCCTTGCTGAATAGAAGGAAAAAATCGACCACTAACTTATAAGTAATACAAGCAGTAATACACAATGATTCCCACTGACAGACCTCAGATCAGACCGGATTAATCCTGCTTTGGCTCTTCTGTGCTGAGCACATCATTAGACCACTCCCAGTGTGACGAGGGATGTATCGCCCACAGGACAGGATTTCCAGAGACGACTCTCGAAACTAGACAAACATAATTCAGAGAAAGATTGTAGCATTTCATTGTGCAATAGGCCTAATATATCATACTGTAAACAAACATGAATGAATACACTCTGTCACAGTAAACACACCCGTTTGTTAGTAAGGAAGTAGATGATGGGATTGTAGACGGGGCTTGTCTTGGCAAAGTACATCGGCATGGTGGCCACCAGAGGCGGAATGTAGATCTCTGGATCCACAACTACAACCACAGAGATGGCGGTGTAGGGCAGCCAGCAGATGAAGAAGGCGGTGATCATGGCCAGGACCATCCGTACCGCATGCTCGTTTTCCTCAAGACAGTTCTTCCCCCCTTGGAGTTCAATGCTTTTGTTGATCTGAAATTATGCAATGTCATTTGCATTGATATACCAAACGAGTCTTTGTTATTACTCAGAACGAGTCGCCTACCTTCCTCATGGACACGAGCACGTTGCTGTAGCAGTACACAATGACAGCGGTGGGCAGTATGAAGCACAGGAGCGTGTAGAAGATTAGGTAGCTGTAGTTGCTCCAGGATCTCTCCTCCCAGCCTAACGAGCAGGACGTCTGGACGCCCTCCGGCCCGTACGAGCTCCAGCCCAGCAGAGGAGCGACGGCCCAGAAGAGGCAATAGAGCCAGACGAACAGCAGGCCCTGGCAGCTCCTGCGGACGTTCAGCTTGAAGCCTGCCATGGGTTTGCAGACCACGTTGTACCGCTCATATGCCAGCAAAGTGAGAGTGCACAAAGACACTAGGCCTAGAAAGAAAGACATTCATGTTTGTCTAAAATATATGTTTTATTGCTTTGCCTGTGCAGCAGTAGTTAAGAGTTTCAAGATTAGGCAATAGTCACAAAAAATGGTATGTGTCAGTTTGATAGTTTATGTGTCTGAAATCTAAAACTGGTCAGAAATTTAGATTAATCAGCATTTTATTATAATTTAAATATTTATATTTGAATCATTTATACGTATTAGTAGAGATAAAATAATCATAGCATAACATAAAAGTAAATTATTTAATTTTGTTTTAAATATATATGTATTAATATTAGATTTGAGTATTTTTAGCATTGAACATTGAAAATTTTAAAAGCGATTTCCACATGAAAATAATAGCTTTAATATAACATTTAAAAACGTTTTATTTATATTTAAACTACATAAATATAAATATGCAATATTTTTAGTATTGAACATTTAATATATATATATATATATTATATTTAGTATTACATAACATTAATTAAAAATATATATATTTAAAATAATAGCCTTAATAAAAGTCCATTTTTAAATGTTGTATTTAAATTGTATATTACTATATATTTTTTAGTATTAAGCATTAGATTTTTTTTAACATTACATTTATAAAATAAACTGCTGAAAAGGATTTCTCATGCATTTAAATAAAAGCCTTAATATAAAAGCTATTTAAGTATTACATTTAAACTATATGAATATTATAGATATGTAATACTTTAAGTAATAAACATTTTTTATAAATATATTTTTAATTTCAGTTACAATGATTAAATATGGTATTAAATGAATTTGTTTTTCACACATTTTAAATGGGTCTTTACATATTTACATAATTATATATTTAAAATAGTATTTATAGTTCTATTTACTATAGGAGTCACATATTTAATGTCATATTTAAAATATATAATATTGATCCCTTAAAAATGCATGTAATAAATTGAATATTAAACATTTTATATTAATATTAGAAATATTAATATTATTCACACATTATAAATGGTTCTTCTTTACACATGAATATAGCTGCCAGCACTATATACCATTTCATAGGGGGTACTTTGAAAGGAAATAAACATATTTGGACACATATAACATAAAACAAATAAAATAACAATGGTCCCTCTGAACCAGTACTCACCAAAATAGTTCACAGCAAAACCTTGAAAAACACAGAATGCATCCCCTAAAAAGAAAGATCCTTGGTAATTTGTGATGGTGACGATGGCAGAGCCGCAGGAGGCAATCATAAGATCTGACACGGCCAGACTGAGAACGATGACGTTCATCGCGTTGAGAAAATGCACGTTCTTCAGCATCACAGCAATCACCAACAAGTTGTTAAACACAGAAAGTACTGTGTTTATAAACATGAGGTATGAAAGTATGCTGTAGCCCACACGTGGAAATATAGTAGGTTGCACTGTTATGGCTGTATCTGTTGTAGTGATGCTCTCCATGGCTGAAGATGAAGTCTGGACAACAGGGCATTTTGTTATCATGTTATCAGGTTTAAATGAAGGCTACAGCTAAAACCTGATTTTTGACAGTAATCTGAAGCATCTGCTCAATTGTTAAAGGCCATTTGTCAAATTACTCTTTGCTGGCTAATTAATCATCTTATTTATCAAAGCAGCCTGCTGGGATTTAGTTAGAAGATAATTATATATGGATAATAAAGGTTGAAAAAAAATCAAGCAATTTGATTAAATTTATAATAAATATCCCAAATAAAATACACTTCAAATAAGGATTAACACATAAAGCCATTTGAACAATGTCAAATAAATGACGAAAAGGCCAAAAAGTGTCACAGAAGTCCTTCCTTAAGTATCAAAAAAAGCTAGGCAGACAAAAAAACTAGTGTGCATTCTCAATTTCAACAAAGCAAAATCCATCCAATACTGGCGTCTTCAAACCATGATGCAAATGTTCATACAATATCAAGTTCAGTATACTGAAACAATAAAAACGTCAAAAATATATATTTACCATGCAAGCAGAAATGCCCTACAGGTTATCGTGAAATAAAACGTAGTACAATACGCTCGTTCACTGTAAGAGACACACAAACTCTCATTGTACAGCAACTATATATATATATGTTCAGCTATAATGTTGATTTCTAAACAGTTACACAATGAAAATATACAGCAGGGACCAAAAATCTGAAACCACAATGAAAATTTGAGATCCAAAATCAAATTTACACCAATTTAACATTTTGAAAACATTAAATAATAATAATAAATAAAATACTTGATGTCAAATTCCCATATATTTTTCAGTTCAGCTTTTCACTATTTTTATCATGTATATAATTTGTAATAAAAAGAACAGCAGTTTAAAAGATTGAGGTCGGTAAGATTTTTTAATGTTCCTGTAAGTCTCTAATGTTCACCAAAGGCTGCATTTATTTAATAAAAAAATACAGTGAGACAGTAATATTATGAAATACTGTATTATTCAAATATTTAAAACAACTGATTTGTAATTTAATAAATTGTAAAATGTAATTTATTCATGTGATGGCCAAGCTACTCCAGTCTTCAATGTCACATAATATACTGATTTGGTGCTAAAAAAACAACAACAACAAAACGCTTCTTATCAATTTGGACAACAGTTCTGCTTAATATGACAACAAAAATCACTAGTGGTTTCAAACGTTTGAAGCCAATTGTACATTATCATCATCATACATTGCTAAACACAGTATGTAAGGCTTTTTAAAACATTAAACACTGATTTTTTATGATCATTTCAAAATGAATATAGTGCCTTCTGCCTTCCTGAGAGTTTCCCTTTTGGTTCTAACAAAAGTTGTTCTTCATTAGCTTCTTGAAACCAGGTTCAGCTTAAAATCAACTTTTAACCCTTTCATGTGTACATTAATGAGGAAAAAAAAAGAACTTAAATGATTTTAGCAAATGGCTGCAATATAACAAAGAGTGAAAAATTTAAGGGGGTCTGAATACTTTCCGTACCCACTGTACATTCACTTTCTTGAGTGTCAAGTATTCTATCAATAAGATTTATGAAGGCCAGTGATGAAAGAAAGGCTACAAACTACAAAAATAAAATCTCTAATACACTACGAGGCACATTAAAACACCACAAAGTTCCTTAAGTACTCTCTCGTCCATGTAGAGTGTTTTACATGGTATCAAAAATAAGATATCCAAAGATTACATGTACCACAGCACAGAAGTTATATGAAGTGACTCACCCACATGTGTCTTTAAAACTAGAGCTGAATCTGATTAAAGTGATGTAACTGCAGCTGTTCTGTGGTACATACATTTTAAAGCAAGTGTCTTGTGTGGCCTCTCTATTCAGGTCCAGTGGTTGTGCTGTGGCTCTGGAAGGGGATGTTCATGGCTCCGGTGCTGGTCTGCTCGGGCCAGATGGGAGACTCGTGCTGCAGGGGTGTGCGTCTGGGGTAGAAGGTGTGCTGGAGGTCGTAGTTCAGCAGACAGCTGAGGGACGCCATGTAGATGTCGGCGAAGCGGGAGAGACGGCGTGTGAAGTAGGTCGGGTTGTGGTATGTGCGGAAAAGACTACCAAACTGGGCGTTGAAGATGTCTTTGGTCCGTAACCTGTTGGAAACCAATTGTTTTTAATAATTGGATACAAAAAAACGTGACAATTTTTGGCCATTTCAAGCTCAATTCGAATAAAATACAACAACTCAAAACACCTAGGTTCATCTACAGTATAACATTTTCTCTATGCCATCAATACACTGTAGTCTACTGTATACATTGGTTAGAAGAAAAAACATTTCTGAATGATTTTCAATGTCAAGTTTCTCTATAATGAACCCAAATGTGTGTGTCTGTCAAGGTTATTGTAGTTAAAGGGATAGTTCACCCAAAAATTAAAATTCTGTCATTAATTACTCATTGAATAAAGTCAGTATTTTTTGTTTTCTTTGTGCACAAAAAGTATTCTCGTAGCTTCATAAAATTACAGTTGAACCACTGATGTCACGTGGACTATATCACTGATGTCCCTACTACGTTTCTTGAATGTGTCAGATGCATTGGTGTCTGTGCAGGGTCAGAAAGCTCTCCGATTTCATCAAAAATATCTTAATTTGTGTTCCAAAGATGAACAAAGATCTTACAGGTTTGGAACGACATGAGGGTGAGTAATTAATGATTGAATTTTCATTTTTGACTGAGCTATCCCTTTAACTAAAACTAAAACTAATACCATCAAAATTTATTTTACTTGAAATAAAATAAACATTAACAGAAATAAACTAAAATATATTTAAAAAAAATCTAAACTGGTTTTATTTCAGCTAGGGCAACATTTCTTATTTTCATTTAGTTTAACTTGATATAGTAAAATAACTATAACTACAACTGAAATAAAAATTTATAAATACTATATAGACAAACTTGACTCTAAAATTGAAATAAAATTTAATAAAAGTAAAAAAAAAAAAAACATAGTATATACACAGTATATAATAGTATCTCAATTTAATTAAAATAGTACTGGTCTGTTTGTAGAATAAAATTATAAAGAAAAAAAAAGTTACCTTAATAAAAAATATATATATTAAGGATAATATTATAATAGATCATATTAAGGATTACCTCATCTCCTCCCTTTCATTGATCCACTGCTGAATCACCATTTGTGACGCAGAGTCCCGATGCACCTGCAACATAACGAAAAATACAGCTTCATAACTAGCCCAAAACTAGCCAAAGTGGAAAGGACCTATGGACATGAAAATACAGAAATGGAAATTACATATAATGCAGTTCTTTTCAGTTGGGCGATATCATTCAAGTAAAAAAAAAAAACATGTTATATTGGTAGCTTATTAGTTATCAGACAATATTTGAGATTTATTTTAATTTATTGGTCAATACTGAATATTTGCATGTTAATGTCTGCTTTTTTACATTTAGATTACCTTTATGGACTAACGCTCAAATAATAGCACATTTTAAATAGTTGTACAAAATAGTACTGAATTTTGGTAAGTTCGTTTTGTTATTTAGAGCGCCCCCGGGTGGTCTGACCTGCATATGCTCCAGCAGTCCGGTCAGGGCCTGCAGCCAGGTCATGGTGTGGACATACTCCTCAGTATTCATGATTTTGATCTCTTTACGCAGCTCAGGAATGATAGCTCCTGTTCTCCAACCGTGTTTCAGGGTCAAGTCCTACACACATCATGCCATTTTCATTACATCAACATTTGCATAATCTATTCATTGTCTTTGATATCAGTACAGGGCATGTTGAGACATGTTTACTTTCTGACATGCACATGATATTCATAAGACAGAACTATTGCCAATACTTTGCATATCCTAGAATCCAAAACCACAAATAAAGCAATAAAACTTTTGATTAGAAATAAACTTAAACTAATATAAAAAGAATTGGTAAGACACAGTTCAATGTAATTAAAAATGGATTGTGTTACCTAGTATCAATGTGTACCTCATTATCAAAACAAAAAGCAGTAGGGTTGTGTACACGCAGAAAATGACAGAATATGATCCTTACGGCAAGGTCGCTGTAAATGTGATCTCCGAAGTACAAAACCTTTGATCCCCTCCAGCCTGTAAGCCGCAAAAACTCATACAGGTTTCCCTGGCAACAGATAAAGTGAACAGATCAGATTCCGGCATCTTTACTGAACAGAAACAGTTCGCAGCTGAACAGCGGGGAACGAAATATTACCTGTTTATAGATCTGCCCTTTCTCAAGGTGGTGAATTCTGTCCCATAGCAACACGCCTTTATCAGTAACTCGTCTGAATGGTCTTCAGAAACCGGAGAAACACACACAAATACACATACTTTTTGGATTCAAAAAAGGTTGGCATACCTAAATACTTCCTCAAAGGTAATTTGTCATGATTTAAACAAAGGAATCTGTGAGGGAGGCTGTAATTATGTCAGAATGGCATTGATTTAGGAGCACTTCAGCGCTGCCAGGTTTAGCTGGCGCTTTCTCTGGGTTTTAGGGACTTACTTCCTCCTGTCATTGAAAAAGCCTGGCTTGTCGGCCTGCACTATGACAACATCGAACAGGTCCCGCCAGTCTTTACCAACTATGTAGTTCATGCCGCGATCTCTGAATAAAGGAATTAAAAGACATTTTATTTGAAACATGCATTTCACACAAGCAGTTAGTCAGAATGGCTTTGTATAAATTCTTAGTAATGTGTCTCTCATGTCATGTGAGATGCATTTTTCCTGTGCATTGATGTTTATTTTGACTTTTGAATTTAGGATCTTGTTTGCACTTACACAAAATCAAAAGGGCTGTTCGTAATCAAAAACATCTTCTTTCCGTTCTTAGATAGCTTCCGTAAAACAGCATGTGTCTGTTCAGCATAACAGATATACTTCTCTGCAGAAAGGAAAAAAACAAGACAAGAATATGTTACAAGAATATTGAAATTGTGTGATTCAATAATTACAAAAAGGGGGTGAGGGGTACACACATATACATCATATTAAATTAAATAATAATAATAATAATAATAGTACTAGTTAATGATAAACTACATTAAATATAAATATTATTTTTTACATTACATTTATTGTATATAAATGTTAAATTTTTTACTACATATTACAGAGTACATATTTATTATTATTACAATTTAAAACTATGTAATATATTAATAATAACATCATACTTTATTATTAATAATAAAATAGATTAAGCATAAATGCAATTATTATTATTATTATTATAGAGCAAACTGCAGATCTATATTATAACATTTTATATGGTTTGTTACAGTACAGTTATTTATTAATCACAATAATAATAATTCTATAATTAGATTAAATTTAAATGCAGTTAAAAATATTATTTAATTACTGCATATCTATATAATATTACACTTTATATTGTATATTACAGTATACCATTATTATTATTATTTGCATATTAATATATTAATCATTTTTATACAGTACTTTACAACACATATTTATTATCATTATTATGCAATTCCCGTCACTATGTCATGTTAAACTTTGATTTGTTCAGCTCTCTCAAGCAGACATATTGCTATAATTAGGTCTTCATGCAGGTCAATTTCTTAATAAGAACTCTTACAAAAAAATTAAATTACCGATATCAGCCTCTACCGCTCGATACATAATCCCTCTGACGTGGACGTCTCCTATGGCCTCCTGGGAACGGAGAAACAGACCAGATGCAGAATATCAAAGCCACACAGAGCCCTGACGCACTGCCAGACACCTCCTGTGAAAGCTCTCAGTCATTTCATCTGGGGACATTCATATGTCCTTTGAGACTTGTTAATTCATAATTATGGCCAGGACTGAACGTAAGAGCAATGGTGTACGTCTTTTATTATTTGCACTGATCTTCAGACCCAATAAAAGACATTAGACCATCTGTAAGCCTGCTTTTCTCCAGGCACGTGGCACAGATGGTGCATCCAAACGGTTCCTCTAAAATTAGACCGTTCCATTCCATGCTGCTCACTACGAACTTAAATAGCACCTTCAGGAGCCATATTTATTCCAAAATGTGTGCTCAAGAGATCCTGTGCTTTCTGACATCTGCGTTACCCTATATACGACAGCACTCACTCAGTTTCCTTAGAAACTAATATCGGTGAAGGAAATATTGATTTCTGATTCGTAAGGTGAGTCCTGCTCTGATACATGACACGTTTTGAGGAACAACTGTACCTTGACGTCTTTATAAAGATGAACAGGCTCGTAGTCAATGTTGTGCTTCATGAAGTAGTCACTAACGCATGACAGCAGCGTCATTTCTGGCAGGGAGAAGATATCCATGAACTGCTTCATGGTGTGACCGTGAGAGCTCTGTATGGAGAGATTGAAAGAGCTATGTTAAAGGGGGTCATATTTACTGCTGTACTTCTGTGTGAGTTGTGCTTGCTACATTGCTACTGTTTTCCCTGCTAAATTTCGACAAAATTATGCTAATGTCAGCACATTTTTAGGATATCAAACAAAACTCTTGACAAGCAAAAGAGCCCAATATTACAGACCTTGCCATAAAAGTCACTCATGATCTCGAGGGGTACATGGGAGCCTTCATACATTGCAATGACCTCCTTTTCTGGCACAGGATTAAGACCCCTACAGAAACATTCAAATGACAATAAGCGAACCTATCCTGAGATTAAAGGGATAGTTCACCTGAAAAATTAAAGGGGTCATATGATGCAATTTCGAGTTTTCCTTTCTCTTCGGAGTGTTACAAGCTGTTCGTGAATAGATAAGATCCCTAAATTTGCAAAGACTAAAGTCTCAAACCCAAAGAGATATTCTTTATAAAAGTTAAGACTTGTCCACGCCCTCCTAAAACGCCTCGTTTAAACACGCCCTCACATGTCTACGTCACTGTGTGGGAACATTTGCATAACACCACCCAAATGTATACGCAAAGAAAGAAGGTTTAACTTTGATTCTTGCTGTAGTATTGTTGTTGCCGCCGCCGCCATGTCGTGGAGATGCTGTGTGTTTCGTTGTGAAAGCGAAACTACTTTGTTTGGTCTTCTAAAAGAGGACACAACTAGAAATCAGTGGTTAAGTTGTATTTATAACACTGTTCCAGAACAGTTCAAACCAAATATTCAGATGTGTGCAGTGCATTTTACGGAGGACGAGGACTGTTTCCTGGGAGAGTAGCCTACAATGCCGGAGTTCTGACAAATAATGCTGACTCACAGCCTGTAAGTACGCTTTCATATGTAAAGAATTTGTCACTGACGATTCAAACGTGAGCTTTGCGCAGTGTAGAGTAGGGCTTGTTGTTTGTCATTTCTCCGATCACAAATGCAGACATGGTTTTATGTTTACGCGGCGCGATGCAACGCAATGCGTAAAAAGACAGTATAAGTCATTATAATCAGTAATTATGTCCCCACTGGATGCTACAAATGCCTCGTTTATAACAGGTTTTAATGTTTTTGTCTCATCGCTCCGGCCTGACAGGGCATCACAGTATGGTAAGGGGTGTAACATTTCCGTCACAAGCTTGAGGTATTCGGCCAATCACAATGCACTGGATAGCTGCCCAATCAGAGCACACCTCTCTTTTCAGACCGATGAGCTTTGTAAAAATCGACGCGTTTCAGAAAGGCGGGGCATAGAGGAGAGACAATAATAATGTTCTTTTTTAGCAACGTCATATGACCCCTTTAAAATTCTGTTATTATTTACTCGCCCTCATGTCGTTCCAAACCCGTAAGACATTAGTTCATCTTCAGAACACAAATTAAGATATTTTTATGAGATCTGAGAGCTTTCTGACCCTCCCATAGACAGCAATGCAACTACCACGTTCCAGGCCCAGAAAGGTAGTAAGGACATCCTTAAAATAGTCCATGTGACATCAGTGGTCCAACCGTAATGTTATGAAGCTACGAGAATACTTTTTGTGTAAAAATGAAAACGTGAAAGTATTCTTGTAGCTTCATAACATTACAGTTGAACCACTGATGTCTTATGGGTTTGGAACGACATGAGGGTGAGTAATTAATGACAGAATTTTCATTTTCGGGTGAACTATCCCTTTAATAATAATGTATAAATATAGTAAAAACATCATAGCAGATGTTTGTTGCACTCTACCTGTACACTGTACCCAGCTGGATATAATGAAAGGCATCAATCTTCATCAGTAAGGCCTAGTAACCAGATGAGATTGACAGGTTAGCCAGGTTACTTATAAAATTTTCATCTACAGTAGATCAGGACTGGACACGTACCTTTTGAACATCATAGTGCAGACCACGAATCACAAAATTTGGTATATAATCATATTCCCTCAGTCCCTCTGGATACTGTTATGTGGACAGAAAGAGGCAAGATATTCAGAAAACATTGAGCTGCTGAAACGAAGTGTGTAATTTTTGTGCCACTTAGCAATTCTTACAAAATGTAACAATATTATATATACATAAATGAAGTCTTGGGTCACTCACCCTGTGCTCCTGGATGAGGATGTCTCGGGCGATGTTGAATATGAGTGTGTGAAGGTGACTGGAGTAGAAGGCCAGTGTGTAATCATAGTCAAAGCCATAGATCTCAATGTCTTGCAGACTCATCTGATTATTAGCAAAGATGGTGTCTGGGTTCACAAAGTTCTTTGATATCACAGGAATTAAATCTGTCGTGGACATAAAAAATGTGTTGTTAATAAATAATTGACCCTTTAAATTCACATTTTTATTATGTTTGCTAAGTTTTAATAAATATAATAATTTAAAAAGGAACTAAAATGATTACTGATTAACCTGTAATGAGACATTAATTACGAAAAGTAAATTTTTTAATGTAAATATTCTCATGTAATGGCCACTATTGTTGTTTCCTAAAACAAAAACTATTTAAAATATTTTTATTAATTCAATTAATGAAAATATTAAAATAAAGCTGGAATAAAATAAAATGCACTAGATGAAAACATACATTTAAAGAACTTAAATGATAATTAGAAATGCTGCCTTCGGCAACAAACTGAAATAAAGCAAGTTGTAGTTGAAATACTAAAATTGCTCAATTTGAAACTGAAATAAAAATGTATTCAAGCTACATAAAGATTTAAAAATAATAAAAATCATATAACATCACCAAAACCTTAACTAAAACTAAAATGTAAAAATACAAACAAACGAGAATTTTAAATATATTGATAAATACTACAATAGTATGTTAATGTAATAATGACTAATGACTTAATGTTATAGTCCGAGCAGCTCGCTCTATATAAAATTTTAAATTATGCAGGTACATATTACAATTATATAAGTAAATAAAACCGTATTATAAAAAAACGGTTCTCAAGTACATAAACGTGACCCTGGAGCACAAAACCAGTCTGAAGTAGCTCGGGTATATTTGTAGCAATAGCCAAAAATACACTGTATGGGTCAAAATTATAGACTTTTCTTTTATGCCAAAAATCATTAGGATATTAAGTAAAGATCATGTTCCATGAAGATATTTTGTACATTTCCTACTGTAAATATATTAAAACTTAATTTTTTATTTGTAATATGCAACTTTAATATTTAGATTTTTTTGCACCCTCAGATTCCAGATTTCCAAATAGTTGTATCTCGGCCAAATATTGTCATATCCTAACAAACCATACATCAACGGAAAGCTTATTTATTCAGCTTTCAGATGATGTATAAATCTCAATTTCGAGAAATTGATCCTTATGACTGGTTTGTGGTCCAGGGTCACAAATATATTATAGTCATAAAACAGCATGATGTCCAATCATGACAGAGTAACCAGCATATATCATTCAGTAAATATAACTAAAATCTTACAGCCTATATAATATAATACAGTATAATGTAGGTTAATGCTAGGATAAAATAGAAATAAAATTGTACATAGATGGTCAATATACAGCACATCTAAAATGCCTTTTTGCTCTTTGACAGATGACCAGCGTCTTAAGAAGAATCGGGCATTTCAAGAAGAAGTATCTGAACTAACCTTGCGTTTGCTGTTTGGTTTCATTGTAAACAGACCAGAGCCAACTGGTCTTGTCGCCACTGGAGCTGGTGCACATGTTCCTTGCTGTCAGCTGTCCCACAGGAACCTCTCTTCTCCGGGACACGAGAGCAGATTTCGAGATCCACGGCGTGCTGCTGGTGTTGACCGTCCATATCCCGCTTCTAGTGTGCAAATACTTAAAGTGCGTGAAGAGCCTCTTAAAACCCTCCTGATTTCTGAGCAGGTATGAAAGCGGCAAGAACAAGGTCGGCATATTTCCCCGCACCAGAGCTGCCTTCTGTTTGACAGACGAGCGCTTCAGCTATACATTCTCTACAATACAGCAGCATATACACACGCTTACTTCCGTTTGCACGTTGACAGGCTAATTTTCATAATAAAAGTACAGAGCTACAAAAATTGCCATTATTAAAAATAATTCAGAAAAGAAAACCCAGAGAAGAATGATGTTTTTTAATAATTATCTAATTTATTTTTTCCTAAATTAAGTTATAAAAAAATCTTAAATTGTTAGAGAAACTCTGAATTAGGCTATAATAACACAAAACTAAATAACTGTTACAGAGAATTGAGTTGCAAAGTATTTTATATGACAAATGAAGACAGTACAAGTTTGCATAAATTGCTTTATTCACAGAATTTAAAAAATGCATAATTTTAGTTAGGCTTTGAAAATTATTATTTTTTCATATATATATATATGTGTGTGTGTGTGTGTGTATACACATTAGTTACGAAAAACAAATCAACAGGTCATTGTTTCTGAGATGCCGAGTCTGTCTGTCTTTCTTTCAAGCCAACAAGTTCTGTTCGCAGTTCTCCAGGCTTTGGTGGGACCTCTGGAATGGTCTATAAGGTTAGAAAAAACATTGTTTATACTGTACTTAACGTTTAATGTCAACATGAAATCAAAATGTACCCGATTTGTTTTCAAAATGCACATTTCTGGATATATTGAGAACAATTCATTGGTGTATGTAATTCAATCAATCAATCAATAAAATCTCTACAGTTAAATTACAAAAATAAAATGGGTTGCAAATTGCAATTCACATTTATAGATAAATATCTAGGTAGCACAAACACCTAAACAAATCAAAAAGCACAAAATCTGATTTGGAAACGTACTAAATCAGGACGGTAATACTGATGCACAACCTGTGCTCCAGCAAACATTGACAACACACTGGCTGCAAGCATCCGTAGATATCTTGGCCACGATACACCTGCTGGCATCCTTAAAAGTCAGCTGGCTGACAAATGTTCTGCTAATTAAGAGAATTTGTACCTAAAGAAAGAAAAACTGTTTATTTCAATTGCCCTTCTAATTGCTCTGTTAATATTTAAATAGAAAGGAAATGTTGGGTAATGTTAACCCATACCAACAATTAAATTATTTAATGACTATTTTAAATAACAACACCAAATAGTATTAGATTATTTATAAAATGATATCAAAATGACAATAAAAACAAAAAGCCATTATTATTTTCATGTTTAAATCAACACAGCTAGTCTAAATACACCATTTCATATTGGTTAATCAAAGCTTATTTAAATGCAACTAAAAAAAAGAACACTTAAGCATTTCATGTGACATAGCTAAGTATTTTATCCGTCAGTTGAATCACTTCTTGCTATAAGGTCATTTCATCCCAGCTAGCTATCTTAAACGTAGCAGCAAATGAAGCATATGTGTGATTATATTTAAATACAGTATTATAATTCCCACATTAAGATGGATCAAATCTGGAGACATATACTAACCTTGTTATTTTATAATCGAAATAACATTACAGGTTTTGTTGCACGACATTCGGCAGTAAAGGTTCTTGTTACGTCTCACATGTTTGCTTTGGAAGTCTTAAATCAAGTTTATCATAGGGACTACTGAAATGGATGGTTTGTCGTAATTGCTCTAAGTAATAATAAAATAATAATTAAATTGATTAAATGAATACTTTGTTCTACACGTATTTATACACCGGTAATTTCAAGCACGCCATAAGATGCGTTTTATATAAAAATGCATGAAGAGAAAAAATACGACCCCTCCTTTGTAAATAATAGTCGAGTCCAACAATGTGAAGCCAGCCGTTAGAAATTTAATGTATAAAAATATGGATTTAAATTCGGCACGAATGGTTGCTCGTATTAACGTTTTATCGTGTTAATTTTCAAATCACCATCTATAATAATTAGATAAAAAATGAAAAGCTTTGAATCCAAAAAACTATGTAACTATATCGTTTTATCATGCGTTAAACTAAGAACTTTTATTTTGAATTTAGCCTTTATCTTTGTTGACATTTTTACTTACACCGGCTGCATTCATCGTGTGTAGCATCATTTAGCTTTTACTTTTCGGCACTAAATATACTCAAATGTGCCAGAAAAGGTCTGAAGAATATATATGGCAGGTAAGATTCATAATCCTAACGCAGAAAATTATATCTGTATTTGAAGAAACGAGTGATTTTAATGCTTGTATTCCGTCAATGGTCCACACACAGCTCTTAGCTTATTGAGTGTAACGAGCTAGTTAGCTGCATCCTACAGTGCTGCTCATAACACAGGTTGAATAGTCTTTGAAATATTTATGTTTTTAGACAAAATTAGTGTTTTGTATAATCCTGTGACGTTTAATTGATAAGCTAAGCATAATGAAAATAGGACAGTAACAGAGGATTAAACAAAGGGAGGTGTGGTTTACCAGCTGGCATATCAGTAACATAAACATGAATATTAATCTATTAAAGTAAGACCACCAATTAAGATGGAAGACAGGCAGTATTCATCTCTGACGGCCCCTATGGATTATCTTCAGTACTGGTGAGTTTGACCAGCCCCAAAAGATCCCAAAAGAGTTGCTTTCTTATATGTTTTAAATACATTAGTGATGTGTATACTGTGATTCCAACAAATGCTATCAAAATGGGATATGAAGGTGTATGGTAAATGTGTAAACACTGACAAGAAAAAGATCAGATTATTTCCATAGGTTTTGAAGTAAGTGCAGTGTCTTTGTAATTTTGTTTTCTCAGGTATCAAACCAATTCTCAGCAGTACCAGGCAGAGCAGGTGCCACAGTACCACCAGATGGTTAATGCCGCCCAATACGCCGAGAGACCTGTGGAGGACAAAATCATGACTGATCTTTCAGTGCATCAAGATCCATATCTGGATCAACCTCAGCAGCTTCATCAACTCTCTGCCCAACCACCAGGTACGACCTTTTGCATCCTCACAGTGCATTTAACTGGGATGTTTCTGCAGCTTATTAAACATCTGGTTTGCAGCCCTTCCGACGACTCCAGCAAAAGGAAAGAAAAGGGGAAGGCCTCCAAAAGGTGAAGGAAAGGAGAAGACGGAAGCTGAAGAGTCTGCCAAGAAAGCGAAGAGGACGTTAAATCGGTTCAACGGGATGTCAGTGGAGGAAGTCATGGCTAGAAAGCTGCCAGACGTCATCACACATAATCTTGACATGCTGATTGTAAGTTTCTGGTTTATAAAGTCATCAAGTTTGATCTGTTTTTATTTATTCTATAAATTAAGTACATATGTACAGTTAGGTCCATATATATTTGGACCGGCACAATGTTTATTTTTTCATCTGCTGACCAAAACATGTTCAAGTTACAATCCCATAATGAATATGGGCTTAAAGTGCATACTCTGGGCTTTCATTTGAGGGTATTCACATCAAAATTGGAGGAAAGGTTAAAGAATTACAGCTCTTTAATATGTAGCTCCCCCCTTTTTCAAGGGACCATAAGTAATTGGACAACTGACTCAAAAGCTGTTTCATGGACAGGCATGGGCTATTCCTTCATTATTTCTACATCAATTAAGCAGGTAAAAGTTCTGGAGTTGATTCTAAGTGTGCCATTTACATTTAGAAGCTGTTGCTGTGAACCCACGTCGCATGGTCAAAGGAGCTCTCCATACAAATGAAACAGACAATTATTAGGCTTCAAAAACAAAATAAATCCATTCGAGAGATAGCAGGAACATTAGGAGTGGCCAAATCAACAGTTTGGTACATTCTGATAAAAAAAGAACACCCTGGTGAGCTCAGCAACATAAAAAGGCCTGAATGTTCATGCAAGACAACAGTGGTGGATGATCTGAGGATCCTTTCTATAGTAAAGAAAAACTCGTTCACAACATCCAGCCAAGGGAAGAACACTCTCCAGGAGGTAGGTGTGTCACTGTCAAAGTCTACAATCAAGAGAAGACTTCACCAGAGCAAATACAGAGGGTTCACTACAAGGTGCAAACAAGGCCAGATTTGACTTTGCCAAAAAACATCTAAAAAAGTCAGACCACTTCTGGAAAAGCATTCTTTGGACGGCTGAAATTGAGATCAACCTATACCAGAATGACGGGAAGAAAAAAGTATGGAGAAGGCTTGGAACAGCTCATGATCCGAAGCACACAACATCATCTGTGAAACATGGTGGAGCGGTGTGATGGCATGAGTATTCATGGCTTCCAGTGGCACTGGTGTTTAGTGTTGACGTGACAGAAGCAGCCGGAAGAATTCTGAAGTGTACAGGGATAAACTCTCTGCTCAGATTCAGCCAAATGCAGCAAAGTTGATTGGGCGGCGCTTCATGGTACAAATGGACAATGGCCCAATTCATACAGCAAAAGCAACCCAGGAGTTTTTGAAGGTAAAAAAGAGGAATATTCTGCAATGGCCAAGCCCATCTCCTGATCTCAACCCGATTGAGCTGCATTTCACTTGCTGAAGACAAAACTAAAGGCAGAAAAACCCACAAACAGACAATAACTGAAGTCAGCTGCAGTAAAGGCCTGGCAAAGCATCACAAAGGAGGAAACCCTGGCTCTGGTGATGTCCATGAGTTCCAGACTTAAGGCAGTCATTGCCTGCAAAGGATTCTCAACATAATATTAAAAATGAACATTTTATTTATGATTATATTACATTTGAGCCCCTGAAAATGGGGGGACTGTGTATAAAAATGGTTGTAATTCCTAAGCATTTTTTGTTTCTATTTTTGTTCAACCCCTTGAATTAAAGCTTAAATTCTGCACTTCAATTTCATATTAATGGTTTTATTTTTAATTCTGTTCTTGTGGCATACTGGAGTCGAAATTATGAAAATTGTGTCATTGTCCAAATATATATGGACCTAACTATTTTAAAGTTATTTTTATTTATATATTAATAATTATTATGGATTTTAAAATTAATCTGAATTAATACATATGAATAAATAGTAATATGACATTTTTGTTTGTTTGTATAAACTCGTTGCTACTTTTACAGATCGGCATCAATCCTGGACTTTTGTCAGCCTACAAGGGAAGGCATTATCCAAATCCTGGGAACCACTTTTGTATGTATTATTCAGCTTATTCTTTTGTAAAGGATGTTTATATATTTATGCTTGTCTTTTGATTGATTGTTGAATGTCTCATAGGGAAATGCCTATATCTTTCTGGGCTGACTGAGGAACAGCTCAACCACATGCATGATCAGACGCTTCCTGAACGGTATGGCATTGGTTTCACAAATATGGTGGAGAGGACAACACCTGGGAGTAAAGACCTATCAAAGTAAGACTTTAACATTTACATTATCTGTGTGAAAGGTGTGGCCACATTTATGGTTGTTCAGCCAAATTTTGCAAACAAATTTCAGTCATTTCATGTGAGGGTGAAAGATTTCCCCAAGCAGGTTTCGCAACCTATTCAAGCAGCTTGGATTTATAAGTGACTTCTGTGCGAGCGAAGCTTCATACTTTGATAAACTATTGACAATAGAGAATGGACCTTTTTGGAAAGTCTCAAACAATGCAAATTTCTCCAACATCTTGCTAATGGGACCGCACCTTAAAAATGAGCTTTATGCCCTAAGAAATGCTTGATATGAATACATTTGAATATCTTGAGTGTTGGTTTGCAGCAAAGAGATCCGTGAAGGTGGCCACCAGCTTTTGGAAAAGCTCCAGAAGTACAGACCTTTAATCGCTGTGTTCAATGGAAAATGTAAGTCGTTGATTTGCTATTGATTTAAGTCTAAACTCATATTTATGATGAAAGTTAATCCTGTTTGATATTTCAGGTATTTACGAAACATTTTGCAAGGAGATTTTTGGAGTAAAGGCTAAGAACTTAGAGTTCGGATTGCAGCCTTACAAAGTGCCGGAAACAGAGACGGTATGAGCTTCTTTCTTGATAGTTTAATGTTCCTGTTTATAGTTGCATATTGATTAGATATGAGCTTCTATTGTCCAGGTTTGCTATCTGATGCCATCATCAAGCCCACGCTGTGCCCAGTTTCCTCGTGCTCAGGACAAAGTGCACTTCTTCATCAAGTTAAAGGAGCTCAGGGATCAAATGAAGGGAGTGGTGAAGACTCAAGAGATCCAAGAGACAAACTACACATTTGATCTGACTGTGGCCAAAGGTGAAGACTTTTACAATTGAAAGCCGTTTTTGTGTTGTTCAAAAATATAAGTTGTTAACCAATGTCCTTTGTCATTGTTTATTCTAGAGGATGCCAAAAGACTGGCAATCAAAGAAGAGCAGCATGACCCCGGATATGAGGAGACCTGTGCCCATGGATCACAGCAGCACCCACAGCAAGCATTTGGGGTCCATCCTTCTCCGGACACAGGTAAATAAATATTGTGTACGGAAAGAATATGAACAATTTTGTGTCAGGTGCTTGTAATAATAGTCAAAATTCTTTAGACCAGGTATCGGACAACCGGTGGACGATGCAGCCGTTTGCAGACCAGATTCCAGACATCAGATGTAGCAACAGCAACTGAATAGCCTGAGAAAAGTAGTTATCGCACAAAGACTGTTGTCTACACTGTATGTACTGAGAAGGACCAACTAAACTTTTTTTTTATTATTGTTTTATTTCATATTTGAATGTGTTTTGCCTGTTTCCTGAAGTTGTTACCTGAATTATTTCAGTGTGTGAAAGCGTGAATGACTTTCTGATTGAGACATTTCTTAATTTTGTGCCTCTATTGTTATCCTTTTAAGGAGCCGTTTGCAGACCAGATTCCAGACATCAGATGTAGCAACAGCAACTGAATAGCCTGAGAAAAGTAGTTATCGCACAAAGACTGTTGTCTACACTGTATGTACTGAGAAGGACCAACTAAACTTTTTTTTTTATTATTGTTTTATTTCATATTTGAATGTGTTTTGCCTGTTTCCTGAAGTTGTTACCTGAATTATTTCAGTGTGTGAAAGCGTGAATGACTTTCTGATTGAGACATTTCTTAATTTTGTGCCTCTATTGTTATCCTTTTAAGAAAACTTCAGTCATAAACTACAGTTCAAAGGTTTGGGTTAGTAAGATATTTTTTTTCTTAAAGAAATTAATTTCTATTCAGCAAGTATGCATTTCAAACAAATACTGTTCATTTGAACACAAAAAATGTTAAGCAGCATTGTTTTTTCACTTGTCTACATTCGAAATAATAGGAAATGTTACTTGAGCAGCAAATCTTCATATTAGAATGATTTCTAAAGGATCATGTGACACTGAAGACTGGAGTAACGATGCTGAAAATTCAGCTTTGCATCACTGGAATACATTACATTTTAAAATATATTCAAATAGAAAACGGTTATTTTAAATTGTAATAATATTTCACAATATTACTGTTTTTACTGTATTTTGGGTCAAATAAATGCAGCCTTGGTGAGCATAAGAGCTTTTTTTTTATTATTATTATTTTTTTTTTAATCTTACCCAAACTTTTGATTGGTAATGTGTATTCCCATTAGCTGAAGTTATGTGTTTTCGTGATATTGGAATTATTTCACATTCACATGTTTTTTTTATACGAGTATTTCAGTGCAACAAATTCTTAATGGAAACCATGGCTGGACTCTGGAAGAGGTTTATCACTGTGCATGTCCTCAGTGCATGGATTTAAAGTAGAATTGCAGATGGCATGCTCAGTCCCAAGTTATGGTGCTTATTGAAAACAGATCACTCAATTTACCTCATTTTGAATGCTATTTTTAGAATTGTGTTTTGTTATTTTGCAATCAGTATGTATAACTGTTTAGTACCATTTATACCTGTTACATCATAATAACCCAGCTTCATTTTTGCTGTGAGAATTATGTAATATGTATGTCATTTTGTAAGTTGTATTTTGTTTTTTACATGTATGTATTACTAAGGGCCAAGTAAAGCCATGTGTATTAGTTATTGTCACAATTAAAATACATAAAATACATACCTTTCTAATACGTCTGAAATAAAAGCCGCGACTATAATCTTCGTTGTTGAGAAATCAGTGAAGAAATATGTTTTGCAAGGTGCAAATCGCCACAACCGAACAATGTATTTAAGATCTTTATTTTGACATTTGCTAAACGGGAAACAGACGGTTTTTTATTTATTGAAGCGCAGCCAATAGGAAGCACGCTCTGAAGCGTTTAAATGTCACAGGAGACGGAGGTCATGCTATTAAATTTAGAGGGGTGCAGTTTTTCATCTCCATGATGAATTTAAGATTAAACTAATAACGTGAAGTACGTTTTTAGTTTTTACATTTAAAATACGTAACAATAAAGCTTAATTTCTGATTTCTTTGTTTTCTTTTTGAATTTAACTTTAGAGACAGGCATACTGTGCCCAACACGCCCCTAGTATTGGTGCTTTTGGTACGCTCCACTGTCAAATTGATTTCTCGCTGTTGGTCTCGTCTTTGTTGCTTTCACCGGTTTTGTTCCTAAAACGAGAAAAATCAACATTTCAGTGGACTATCGTTCTAATCATATCGCAACGGTATGTATTCATTTAACAAATAAAGCTTAATTTGATTAATTACACAATGTAAATGCATTTTATGCCGATAGAAGCGCTCTGCACAGTTAGCTAGCGACCATCATTCATTGTGCTCAATGAATTGGCACTCTAGGCCAGTATTAGCCGAACATGCTAACAGTATCACATATGGTTTTTATGCTTATGTAAAATAAAGAATCACAGCAGTTTACCTGCATTTGTCCTGCTGAATTAATATGTAATTACTAAATTTAGATTCGTTTTCTCAGTACCACAGTTTAGATTACTGGATGTGTCTAAATAGTGAGATGTATTGGATGATTACATGGAGTGTGTGATTAAAGTCCAGCACACAGAACCTTTTCTGATCTGGTTTATACACTTAAGCCAGACTATAGGCTGGGTATGTTTTGATGTTCACTAAATTTAGAATTGCATTTATGTATAATTTAACCTATTTATTATATAACTATAAAATAAGCTAGAAGTAAAAGGGCTGGTTATAAATATTCCCCTGTGAGAATACCACTTGAAATTGCTGTTGAAATGAACACAAATATTGATTTATTTAAGTAAATCCTTTAGAGATGGATGAAAGGCTCTATGGATCTTTGCCTCATGCCCCCTCGGAATACCTCCAACAATGGTGAGTGTCCCCATATGTCGTCATTTGGCGCGAAGATTAATTACGACCCCACTGGTTTTCTGCTGTTAGAATAACATTCAGCATTTTAAGTCTGTTTTTGAATGCTACTAACCAGTCTGTAGCGCCATGCACGACAAAAGTTATTAGCCATCTTACATGAAGAAGAAACTGCCATGGTTTTGCCACTTGTGTTTGTTTTGAAAACGGACGCGTTCCTGCAATTATTAATATGTTCTTTTTGCAGGGTTGCATTAATGACTTGACTTCTCAAATGATTCTAGTTTAACTCCGTATCTCTTTGTGGAAGATGCACCTGCTTCACACAAGACAATCTCCGATGTAAAGGAGACGCAGTTATTATGTTGAAGTGATGCATCATTTCTAGTTATTAAACTGAAGTATTTTCATTTGATAGATTTATTTTTAAAATATTACAAGCTTTATAGCCATTATAAAATATATTGTAGTTTAGTAATGAATTAAAACGTCATTAGTATTATTATGGCATTATATAAGCTTTGCAATCTACATGGTTGTGAATGTATTAAAATTAGTGTTTGCGTTGTCTAACTGTTAACTTTTAAGTGTTTCTTGTTAAATAAGACTTCGGTGGCTGTTAACTCATGTTAAAATGATTTCTAATTATGAAACCTAGATGTTAGTTTTACATTTTTATTTAAAAAAATATAGTTTTAGTTCGTTAACTATGATTAATACACCATTCATAATATTAATAGCCTCCCATTATATTTATGCAAAGGTAAATATGCGATCTAAATAGTTGCAAATGTATTTTAATCTTTTTGTATTATCAAATTGTTAAATGTTTTTCTTGTCAAGTGAAGGAGTAATTATGCAAAGTTACTTTACCTGTAAACACCATTGTTTTCTGTTAAATGCACAGTGTTGGGATAATCATGACTTCACTGCATCGGTACAGAATATTGGTCAAACTGATTAACAATCTCTATTTTGCATCTTATTAAATATGCGCTTTTAAGATGGACTTTTTTCTACAGAAGTCTAAGTTGGACTGACAACTGACAACTCAGTCAGTCCCTGTTGTATTTCTGAACTAGGGTTCAGTCAGCTCAGCAGCATCTGCAGGCCCTTCAGGCTCAGTATCCTCACATGGCTAATGGCAATGCTGGTTTTATGATGGAGGGACGCAGAGAAGATGGAGGCATGCCGCAGATGCCTGTACACCCAGAGGATGCCGCTCAACTGGAGCCTGCGGCTGCACAGAAAGGTAGTTATCCAGGACCGTGTGTTTTCAAGCATTAGAACTGAGCTCAGCAGACTGAATACATTCTCTCATGTAGCTTTTAGTCAAAGTGTTTTTTTCCCCGTTTAAGCACCTGCTAAAGGAAAGCGAGGAAGGGCAGCAAGCAAAGAACCTAAAGCCAAAGGTGAACCTAAAGCCAAACCTGGACCCAAACCCAAAAAAGCCAAGGAGGATAAGGAGGCCCCGCCAGCTGAAGGACAGGAGAAGATTGACGGAACCTTCAAGAAAGTCAAGAGGAAAGTCGATCGCTTCAAGGGCATGTCGGAGGAGGAAGTCATGAAGAGAACACTGCCTGACATTCTTACCCCCAATCTGGACTATGTCATTGCAAGTTTTTATGGCTTTCTCTGAAGTTGTCTTTTAACAATGAAGAATGTTAACCCAAAGATGGCATTGAACCCAAATGACTGAAATGAATCTTATATTTATGATACAGATCGGAATTAATCCAGGGTTGATGGCGGCCTACATTGGAAGATGGTTTCCTGGACCAGGAAACCATTTTTGTAAGTAGACTACAATTCTACTCCCCTCTATTGTTATATTATGCTTTAATGTAAAATAGATTTTATTGTTGTTATTATATTGTTTATTTTATTTATATAATTGCTGTTATAAATATATTGTAGGGCTGTCAAATCGATTATTCGCATCCAAAATAAGTTTTTGTTTACAATAATCGATTTGACAGCCCTAATATATTGTTGTTTTTAATATATTAATATAAAAGGTTGTTTACAAACATAAGAGAAATTCTAAAGGTTAATATATATTAATAATATAAATAAAATATTCTAATATAATAGAAATAATTAAAGAACAAATATTATAAACAACTTATATTCATATTTTTAAAAGGAATTGTTCAAAACAGTTATGTTGACATTATTATCTTTCAATATAAAGAGGTATTTTATATTATGTCTTTATTGTTAATAATATAACAGTGCTATTAGTATTGTTATTATTATTATTATTATTATGAATAAATTCATATAAAATTAAATTATTATATTAACATTTTAAAAAGTGGTTGTAGACAAATATAAAAAGATTTTATACTGTTAAAAGTTTACTAATATAGTAATGTAAATACAGAAATATTCTAATATAAAATAACATTTATTATATATTAAAAAAATATTCAAATATAAAATAATGTAAATAATTATGCAGCATAATATATTTTAAAAAATCTATAATATATTAATTTAAAAAATAAATAGTTTAAAATCTCTAATCTTTCAATTATTAAACTATAATCGTTCTTGTCAAT